TCTTTAAATAAAGACATGATTCAAAGCTGAAACTCGTTGTAATATTCACTCAATCGAAAAAAGGGAAACCTTGAGTAGCTTCTTAGAGTAATCGGAGACACCATCAGAGACCAAAGCGACCATATCTTTGTTGGATCCAGTTTCACGAATCGATTTCCCCAATACCCTAACTCCCAATAAGAACTCATCTCCATACAAAAGTGTGACATAAGCTTCCTTACTTGATTCAGATCCAAACGAACCCTTTAACTGAATCGAAATTGACAAGAAGAAGAAGAGAACCCAGAGACTCGCCCTGAGCCTCACCATAATCATTTGGATCTAATTTTCTCGAGAAAATTGAATAAATTAAATTCCTGATCTTTAAGGAAAGTAAACGTTGAAACAAATGATTTTGAAATTTCTTCGTTTATTCTTTTTCGGTTTGTTTCTTCTCTGTGTGTCAGGAGGACTTCCCTTTCCTCCTTTCACCGCCGTCGTTTTAGAAAGCCGAGAAAGTTTTTATATCCTACGACCAAGTCTACCACAAGATATTCTAGACATCCAATCAAATAACGATAAAATGTTGAACTTACAACGACGTCGTTTCAATAACTCGCATATATATCTACACAGTAGTATTACCCACAAACACTGAACAAAAAGACTTCACTTACAATAAGCTTTCAACACATTTCATCTCCTTCCCAATTATCTTTCTCTTTTGGTCCCGTAGGACCTTCCTCGCCGTAAAGCTCAATAGGAAATAGATTCTCAAAAGAATACCTCACAATCAGAGGAAGAAGCTTAATGATCTTATTGATCTCAGCTGCCGAATCGTATACTATAGTTGGTCCCCATTCTCTCATAAATTGTAGCCAGCACGGTTCTGAAACCGCTCCTTCGCCTAAGTATTCTGCTGCCACGATTCTATATCTTTGACTAGAATCCAAAGTATACTTGCTTTTTGCAACATCGTTTCTCACTCCTATCCCGAGCTTCGACGAGCCTTGAAGATACATTCCCGGGTGAGGGAAACTTGCGTGCCCGTGTTTGGATGAGTACACAACCGGTTTGTTGCTTTCTTTAACAAACTCAAGATCCGAGACATCAACCCATCCTCCGCCGCTGTGCTGTGAGAAGAACATTTGGGAAAGCTTACCGTCAAAATTGCTTATCCGGAATGTGAAATGTTCCCAATCACCTACATGTTCTCCAATGCGGTTCATGGGTATGGTGAGAAATCCGATTTTGAGGGTGGCCGGACCATTAAATGGACAGAAAATCCACATCACAATGTCCGTGAAAATCCCGCCAAGCGCGGGTTTCACGTGGACGTAAAGCTCTGAGCTTTCTAGATTTCCCTTCTTTAGATTATTTCTAACTTCCTCGTCGTCAGAAGGGAGATCAATCCAAAATGTCCCGTCGTTTTCTCCACCAGCAGGCAAATTTGAGCCTGCAGAGTTAATCGGTACACCTTGCGATTTCCCAAGCCGGTACAACAATGCTCCATTTTTAAAGAACCATGGCACGGATGAAGGCATGTAAGTCTCTTCGGGGTGGAAGTAGACAGTCGGTCCATAATGTTGAATAAGCGCATTGACCTGGTCAAGATTTGGCATCCCGTGTAGGCTCGGATCAAGATTTTTCAAGCAAGCAATGTTCGCCCCGGCTTGATTATCAGAAGACATATCATTATTGTTACAAATGAATGACCCGACGGCCACGCCCCGAGACCAAATCCCTCTCTCGCACGGTTTAGTGTTCCAAACATTAAAAGATCCCATGCCGAGTATCATCTCACCGGTTTCACAACTCTCTGTAAGATCCTCTCTAACACATCTCACTTCTTCAATCTCAGGCTCCTCTGGTCCGTCAGTGACAATAACTCCCACGGCTCTATAACCAACAGGAGGATTTGGTAGCCAGAAGTAGCAATCTGAATCTGAGCTCCAAACGAAAGAATAATTCACAGGTTTTTTCAAGGGAGGATGGTCGTCATCCGCATGATTATCGGTCTTGTTAGCCCGAGCTGCAAGAACAAAGCCTCTCAGTAGCTGATTGTTTGGCTGGCAGTAATGTCCAAGGCAATGAAAACCTTCTGGTATCCCCACGGGTTTGTAAAAAGAGGCGCATCTCGATTTGCCACGCGACGTGCCACATTTCCAAACTCTATCGAACTCGGTGACCTTCACCACTTCGATTTCGCCGAGATTAATTCTTCCAGTACCAAAACCTCTGCCTGAAACAAAAAAGTAACCAACATTATAGAAAAATGTACCAATGATTCAAATCAACTCTGTATTATTAATCTATCATCATCAACCATTACTCAACTTTATCCAAAGGGTGGTTGGGACTTGAAACATAAACAATTAAAGAATCAATTAAAACATGTCTAAACTATGATAGAATATAATACCAAATCCATCTTCATTGGTTCAACATTAATAAGAACTTTTCAATGGTCATACATTATTCCACAAATCATTGAAGCGGACAAGACCAAACTTGTACTAATTAACAATGCATGTGAGGATTAGGGAGGGTTTTAATTCGCTTAAAAGTCAGTAACTAATGTTGACCCGTACAGATATTTCCTTCAGTTGTATTAATGTTTCTAGTCCAATAAATTTGACCATAGAACAAATTCTTGAATCAAAGTTCAAACAAAGAACCAGTCAAAAGACAACACGTACTCATGTTGAATGTTCTAACAAAAAAAGAAAGCCATATGATGATATATGGAAACATACAAATATCAAATTGATCGTGATATATGACTATAAAAACCAAATTATTTAAACCAAAGCTAACTCGAGAATTTATATTCCAAGCCCCCATGGTTTTGTAATAAATGTGAAAATTATACAAATATATAAAATATGTACTCTGTAACATGCCACTTGTATCTTTTTTTTTTTTTGCTAAAAAAACCACTTGTATCTTTTTTTTTTGTTAAAGTGACCACTTGTATCTTTTATGTTGTAAAAGTAGCACAATTTGATTGATTTCTAGTTAAAGGAGAAATGCCAAAAAAAAATTCCAAATTTGAAACAAAAACACAATAAAATTAGAAATAAGAGCCTAAAGTAGTAAATACAAGTTTGGTAACAAAATTCTGCAAGTGAAATTAAAAAGGGAATTGCATGGATTATTAATTATAAGTTGATAAAGATAAAATTGTGGTTTCCAATAAAGGAAGGTGCTCTTTTATGTTACCTTTTGGCCACCGAGGAAGAGGAGACGGAAGCGAGAATGGCTTTAATTCGGACGATTCCGATTCCAACTCGGAGATTCCTTTGTTCCTGTAGAAGCAATCACCAAACATCGTACGAAGATCAAATTACAGGAGAAACCCAGAAAAACCCACGAGTTTGATTTCGAGTGTTCGATACTCGGATTCTCCGATTCCGACTAAACCAAGCACTAATCGGTGATTATGTGTCTCTTTCTCGATCACTTCGGGAGAGCTTTGATCTCCTTGTCGGACTTCGCGGCGAGGAGAGAGAGAGATGAAATAGAAGCGTTGAAGCTTGTTGCTTGCGTGTGAGAGAGGGAAGTCCCAAATATTAATGGCTTTGGTTTTCTCAACCCAAAAAAAAATGTTAATGGCTTTGGAGTTTGGCCTTTTATTTTTTTCGTGCCTTTTTTCTTTTACAATTTTTGTCCTTTGTCTTTATAATGTTTTCAGTAAAGACCCCTGTATTTATAAATAATTCAAATATCTCCCCCCCCCAACGAAACCAAATGTACTATTCTTTCCGTTTCAAAATATAAATTGTTTTGCTTAAAAATACGAATATTAAGAAATTATTTTTTTTCAAAAAAATATCATCTTATATATATAATAAAAATAATTTAACCAATAAAAAAAACGATTGCAAAATACTATTAGTCACACAATAGTCAATAAAATTAAAAATACCTACAATTATCAAAACAATTTATATTTTGAAATATAAAAATCCTCCAAAACAACTTATATTTGCCAAAACAACTTATATCTCCTTATATGATAGGAATGGTTTGTACTAGGGCAAATACTATTCATTAATTGTGTATGCAAGTTGCAATAATATGGACATGAAAAAATAGAAGAAAACAATAGTTTAATCTGCTACAACCCAATTTAAGGAAGAACAAAACTTGATTGGCAACAGATTGTTGTTTGCCATAAATCCACTTCTACAATTCAAAATTTTAAACAATTGACTAGAGTAAAACTGATAATAAAAACTTTGAGATAATTTTAAAATCTCTAGTTTTGATTGATATACATATAGGTATAACGAATCGATCTTGACCAG